AAGGGGTGATTTTAGGTTAAAAAAAAGTTTCCCAGATGGATCATAGTCCTGTAATTGAATAACAAAACAGCTCTTGACTGTTTTTCAACAATTTTGAAAATGCAAGTGAAAACTCAGCATAACAAAAAAGATCCGTGTCTGATGGTTGTGGTGTTTTCTTTCTTGCAGTTACTTTCTGAGCACAGAGTCTTCTCCCAGAGGGAGGCAGTTGTACAGGTGAGTAGTGAGCAAGGACCTCCTTACACAGGTTGGCTTCTAAGTGGCCATGTATACAACATGAAGGAAGAAGGGGTGGAAAAATCTGATGTGTCATTTCAATAAGGCTAGGGGACAGCAAAGTCTGAATGACAAAGCTTCACACTGTTGGTCCAGACCCTTGGCTCCAGTGGAACCTGGGTGGAGATCGCTTTCTCCTTTGCTGTTCCCTCCTTGTTTTTTTCTTCACCTGATTTTGCAGTTTCAAAATACCCTTTTTTTGTGGCTCGCTTCTCTCAACTCCCCCAGACCAGAGGCATTTACATATGATTCCCTATGGCCTCTTCTTCTGCTAAGTCTCTTTTTGAATTTTCAGTGTGTTAATGTGGCACATGTGAAATTTATTCCTGAACAACATAATGGCATTGTGAATACTCAGTCAAGTGTATCAAGTAGAAGCTTTCTTTTTTTTGTCTGTAGTTCATAAAATCCAATGAGGTGTTTAGGAGGAAGCATCCTTATTTAAATAAGAAATGTTCATTGCGTACTAAAATAAGTCAATGTATGGGGAATATTTGCATCTGCCCAATTTTCCCAAATGCAAAGCTATATTCATAAAAAGGGCTTAAAATCATACCTATTTATTATTAAAATGTCTCCTCACTAAGAAAGCTTTCACCAGGACCTCACAAGAATGACTTTTGTTTTGAGCTGGCAAAAAAACCTATTCTACACTTTATATACATGTTCTAATTTCCATTTCACAGACCCATTTTTAAAGTGTCAAAACTGCCCTGGTATATTCTCAGTGGAAATTCATCACGTTCGAAGAAGTGTCACCTCTGATTCTTACCAAGAAGCCGAGACTTTGAGAGTAAAAATACATGTTTGAAGCACCCTGACTTCCTCTAATTTACCCACACACTCTTGTTTATACACAATTTACTTTCATCTGAAGCAAGCCTCTCCTTTTATCACCTCTCCCAATATATCAGTTTTATGTTCTTCGTTTAGTCTCTTGAACCTCTTGAAACCCATGTTCTCAATTCTAATGACGTCCAGAGGAAGAAAAGCTATTTATTTAGAGATACTGATTAAAATTTTGGTTTAGAGGTCTCGACTGAAGCACTGGTCACTTTTCCTTTTTGGTGACCTGAACCTTATCTTTCTTGAAACATATGTTATGATTGATATGATTAGCCATGAACAATACTTTAAAGATGTAGAAATATTGATCAATACTTTATAAAACTCCCATTTTATAAAACTCTTAGAGAAAAATGACAGTATCAGAATATTAGGCTTGATCAAGTTCAGCAAATGCAACTGCCTCAATTTTTCTTCCCCTTATTAGCCTAAAATGTGATTTGAATCACAATGACTCCTTAGATTTGTGGCCATGTATTATGTCTCTAGTGACTGAGACAGAACAGTCCATATATCTCTGACCCGTACTAGTGTAGCCGACTGCATCATAAAGAAAATGTAGTACCAATAAATTTCCCCTTAAATAGCTCATCAAATCCCACTTGGCTTGATGGTAAGATAATGTTAGTGTTTGACCCAGAATATACAATCAATGTCTTGCCCAGGCTATAAAAATGATTATTCGTTGACAATGTATGGCATTAGACACCCTACAGAATCAGAAGTGTTACCATAGTCATTGTTACTTATTTTTTGTCTCAAAATTTGCATTTCTTTATTTCAGCAATCTAATAATCTCATAATCTAAATAATGAGAAAACACCAACGTAAATCTCTAGGGAACTTGGATCTGAAACCTTTGTGGAAGAGTAGAAAGAGAAAGATTTTAAATCTTAGTATGTCACTAAATAGCAACTGCGATGATTTCTAAGCCTCTCTGTGGTGATGGTTGTGCAATATTATGAATGCAACTAGTGAAACTGAATTGTATACTTCAAAATGGTCAAAATGGAAAATTTTATGTTGTACACATTTTATCACAATTTTATAAAGAGAAAAGAATTTGGTATGATTACCTTGTAGGTTATCATAAGGGTGAAACTAGCTAATATGTTTTAAGTGTCTAGTATTTATTACTTGCTTTTAGAAAGAAGAAAATCTTGGATTATAATAAAGCTAACAATATTTCAAACATAAAATTGTGATTTTGTGAACTCTACTTAACATTGAACCTCAATCGCTTTTGGTGCTTTTGGTATCTGCCTAAACTCCCCTGTTCCCACCCCCATGCCAACAGCATATTGCACATTGAAGTCAACATGACAATTATTCATTTATAAATGTATAGTCAAAATCATGTTTTGTTCCAAAATGCAGTTGAGAATCTTTTATCTAATCAAGTTTTTTT